ACTGTCATGATCTCCTGACACGTGCTAGTCTACGTGCTAGTCCACTGCTGTCAAATTCACCGTGACATGTTTGGTGACAGGTGACACTGTGACATTAAAGTTATCATGTACACTGACACCAGACCTTGCCCTCCTTAAAGCATTGATACCCTGATATTTCAGTTTTGTCACCCAACAAGGTCCTATTTACTATCATAAGTGTTATCACCAATGACAGCTATCACAATATAAACACTGCATTAAGACAGTGTTCTTCTGCATACCCAATCCCAGCGAGCCGATCTGGTATCTCAACATATGGGCAAAATAATATTGTTTTTTCTAGATGATTGATCAACTATGTCCATACTTTCTCCAGCCCGATCAGAAACCAGATCCATAAAATTATTGATCCAGGTAGCGAGTTCTACAGTGGTCCTGCTATAGCAATGGAGTTGGGATGTAATAACTGCAGGCTCTATCCAATACAGTATATATATATAATATAATATCTCTGGTCCCTGTGGAGGCCAATACCTGGTAGTGTTTACCTGTATTTCCTGTGCACTAGGTGTTAACTGATCAGACAGGTGAACAGGTTTAATGAGGGGAGGAGGGGGAGGGAGAGCCCAATTTAGAAAATGGTCAATTTATCTTCACGCTTTTTCTTTTCTTTTTTTTTCCTATAACATTTTGTCTGGAGGTTGAAACACTTATCACAGAATGCTGGACTAGTTCAAGAATCCCTCACTTTGAGTACATCTCAACAATATTGCTGTTGACTCTTCACAGCCATGAGAATACCACTCTTGCTGTGCTGAGAATGTTCTCTGCCAGAGCCCGAGGCATTATAACCACTGGTTTGTGTTGTACCATATAACATTACTGTCTGTAGTCTCATTTCAGATGTCAGTGCACACTAATATATATAGCCAAACTCATAACACTTCCTGTGAGAACTTACACCATTCTAGTCACTGCTGTTGGCTTACACTTTCTTGATGTTATCCAACTTCTTGGTTACTGTCATCTTCATTGTAAATAGGATCTTTAAGTATTTCTTCAATTTTCATCAAATAAGGCTCCAAGTATGTTTGTGTACATACTGTTGGAAATTTTTTCCTCATATAGTAACCCATTCATCCACATAAGAAGCAATGTGTTTTTCTCGCAATTTCCCAAGATAATTAGCAGTCCCATTTGCACTCCCTAATCACATCTCTGATGTGCCATTCATCTAGGAGCCAACTTCCGAGAAAGTAGGATAAATTTCACCGCGTAGTTACCGGTCTGTAGTCAGATTCCTGATAGAGCCATCTTGCCTTTACTCCCAGACTTCACAAGATCCGGTGAAAGGGCCTCAGTAAAAGCTTTGTACTTCACGAAATCAGGTGAATTTCTCACAAATTTCACGTCAAAACAGTCTGTCTGCTACCTGTATATAACTCTCTCTCTCTGCACCCTGACACTGCTGGTGATGACAGCCTGCACTGCGGCAGGTTACACATTAAACAAACATCTGTTCAGCTCAAAATTATCAAAACTTTAGAGGGGAACTGCAGGGTAAAATCCACTTTTTTAAAGGCAACTGAAAAAACTGTTTATAAGTGTACATGGTGGGGATAGAAATATACTTCTGTAGCTGTCAGATTTAGTATGGAACACACGAAACTGATTTAAAGCCTCCTCCTGATAGAAATTTGCGTAACCATATTATAACCAAGCAAACACGATGGAAAAACAATTCAAAATGGCTGCGTGATCAGCAGCACATTTTAACCCTCCATGTTTAATGTCACTTTGTTGACTCGTTTCCAGCTCATTTGTTATGGGTTTCCATGGTGATTTGATACATTTGGCTTTAGTTTAGTAATGAAGGTACAAATTCCTCACATAACAAACTTAACTGATGAAGTCTAAGGTTATAAAGTACTTGAAAATATATGACAGGCAGTGACACAAAACATTTATATATCTATATGTGTCACAGAAAAATAAGTAAATAAAATTTTGCCTCAGACCAAAATATGGCGAAGTGTATGTTTTTTATTTTCTTTCTATGACTTGCACTATATTTTGGTCCTTTACTATTTTTCCCCCCAAGCAGCTGGTCTAAACAAGCTATCTACATCAACCAGATGGCAGTGCATCCTCTGCCTTCAATGAGCACAGTGTGATTTATAGTTCCATTCAAACATTTCACAACTTCACAATGTCAAAACTCCTACATTCTCAGTACTCTGATAAATTCACCTTTAAGGCATCACCAAATGTAGTGAGTCAACAGAAAAATTTTCAGGTTAAAACAGAAATAACTTTTACATGGGCACTGACATTAGAAAACATTCTTAACTGAATATTAAATTATTTGAACGTGTACAGAGGTAGAATACCATCCTTTGCCAACACTGAATGGAAAAGTCTTTACTCACTGCATTACACATACACAACTAACAGATGAATAGGGAGAGCCCGATTCAGTTACCACAGTGAGCCCGACCTCTTCCCACCTCTCAAGTCAGAGGTACTTAAAGGTGAAAAATCAACATAAAAGTGGAAATCAGAATCTAGGCCTGGACATAATGAAGCATTCACTCTCTGATCCAGTGTCAACTTCTTTCCTATTGGATTACACTCTATTATCCCTATTCAATGGCAGTAAAGTACCAGAAAGGGCAGCGGGGAAGCCATACAATTTATTTTTTTATAAAAGAAAGAAACTTTACGCTTAGGAATGCTGCCGGAATCAAATACAAAGCCATGTAAATAGATGCCAGGCTCAAACAGGAGTGAAATCTAATATAGGAAAAACTGCGTTTAAACCCTTATACCTGAAGAACTTCTGGATTTGAAACCGGATTATACTAAAGGGCATTTAATGCTATACACTATGGCCAAATCCTCCCAAAGCATTCACCTTTAGTTTTTCTAATTCGCTGATGTCATTCTCTCATTGTACTGGGGACGTAAGGTAGGAGATAATGTGGTCTGTATTATGTCAGCGGCTGCGAGTAAACAAATGATTTTTCTCTCACAGTGATCCCCCTTAACTTATTCCACTAGCCAGGTCTTTATGGTAGGCTGCAGTGGATAATCCCACATATACCACCCACAGAGTCACATAAATATGTTAATTACTTTTTTTCTTTCTAGAAATGAATGCAAGTTTTGCTTTCTATATATTTATCTTTTTCCTCATCATCATTATCTTAATACTTGTAATTTCAGTGAATTCAAGAATCCTCTGAAGCAGCTAATTATTATTTTTTCTTTATTATTGTTATGTTTTATTTAATTTTATTTATTTATTTATTTTTTTTTTTTGCAAACAATTAAAAAACCTTTTGAAAAAATTGAAAACACTTACTAGTAAATATATCTGGAACCAAAATTGAAACTTTCATGGAACAAAAACAGGCTGGATTCTGCCCATTTGCCCTCCAGATCACGGGTGCATTGACCGCTTCACCTGACCACTGATCCAGATCAGCCCACCCCTACTCCAGTATGACAGCTATCTCAAAATATCTGACACAGGTGAAGAACACATTATTTACAACAACAACAACAACCTCGTTGAAACTTCCATTTTTCTCCCTTATATCTGTTTTATTTAGTTCCCAAATCTCTATACTAGGTTCATTATTTCACAGGGCCGGTTGTAATTCTTTGCCATCTTTTTAATGACATTTGTTTCTAATATTTTTTATCACTTATAGTTTGCTTCTAGTGTTGGTTTTAATGTGACCGATGGTCATATCAATGAGTACACAGATGCCACTCAGTTCATCCAGTCAAACTAATTCCCAGCACATTTGGGTCCATTTTCCCAGTCTTAACAATCAGTGTGCACGGAGCACCATCTCCAATAACAGGGCAAGCCAAGTTCAGATGTTCTGATAACACTAAAAGGTTTGCTGTCCACCATCCAGTGACTTCATCTACCTTGTTAACATGAATTGATGAGGCCATCAGTGTCTCACATACACGCATTTGAATTAAGTTGGCTGTAATGTGCACTGTAGAAGGCATATTGGAATATAGAACTGATAGTGGATGATAGACTACATACTGACCACCATGATATAAAATTACAGATATTGCTGACAATTTTGAAAAATCATCTCAAAAAAATAAAAATAAAAAAAATAAAAAAATTAATATAAAAATATATTGGCCAAGAAATGACATCCAACTGATTGCCCCACATGAAAAATAAATGTTTATCGGCCAAAACTTTTCACTGTCATACAAGGAATTGTGTCACAACATCAACTACGAACTATGAGACAAAATGGCAAATTGACATAAAGATGTGTAATTCAGGCCTAACTTATTCACTGAGGCTACTGTAATATGTGTATGTTTTCTAATGCATTTGTGAGACAATGAATGTGTGAATGTGCATCTCTGTTCATATTCTTATATATGTATATAAATGCATAAAATGCCACAGTGCAGGTATCTCATTAAAAGTGTATATGAACACATACAAATAGACATATCTGAATGAGTGTATTTATCCCCATTCAACAATCTTTTATATGAACTCAGTGTTTGCTTTAAAGTTGCACTGTAGAGCAAAAGGGGTTGAAGGTCGCCATTTTCGTTTAAGAGAGAAAACAGTGAGTGTAAACACCTATAACAAACATAAAATGGTGTAATAGTTTGAGGCCATCATAGTTTAGGGAGAGTCTGAAAGCTGAAAACATACATGACATACACAAACTCGAAAACAACACAATTCTACAAATACAACAAAAATATATTTAAAAATAAAAAATATGAATTTGTTCCAAATGAAAAAATTGCTTATTTTATCCAATGTATAAATATATATTTTACACTGATGGACAGCTGATATATTAGTCTTTTTTGAAGTGCTGCCACCTATTGTTATGAAAAGACTGACCCATAATGTGCTGCTACCAACAGTCTATGATTGACATCATTACAAGAAACTGTAACCATTGTTATTTAGTTTTTATGCCTCAGTAAAGCATGAATATGTTGAGGTAATTTTACTTTGCATCTATCAGGAAAAAAATACATAAAAGGTGTGGAAAAATATTTCATCAAAAAGCAACAGCCCTCATAATATAAAGTTATCCCTATGCTCAAAGCAAAAAGAAATGTAATTTAAAAAAATGTCTTTTACCAGTTAGGTTATATAAAAAATTAATAGAGAGTATGTCTACCAAAATTCATAGAAAAAAATAGGTGGATTTCCCAACAAACAGGTGCGTGGAAAGGAGACACATCCCCAAGTCTGCCTTATTATATTCAAAGTTGTACTTAGTATATATATATATATATATGCAAGTTGAGGCATTAGTGGTGGTATAGCCCAGTTTTTACCTAGAGCCTCATCATTCCCATAGGGAGGCGGGAATTGCCAGTCTGATGACAGTTCTAACGGAAGAAAAAACAAATATGAAATATCTTGCTGATATAAAACTGTCAACATAAACAGCAATTTTACCATTTTTAAAGAAAAAATACTCAGCGGCCATATCACACAACAAAAATAGTCGAGTTGCAATGTTGCAGATCAAAGAGATAAAATGAAGCAGCAATAATATATCGTTACAGCAATAATATATTGTACCCCATGGGGCACAAAGGTCAGAGAACTCACTGATCCCTGGTTGAAAAAATGTCCAGTCACTGAACATGTTTATACAATTTTGGGGGACCCTGCTTCAATTTTTCAGACATTTTGGTAAGGGGCAACGGTTCACATTGCAAATGGGAATAGATCACATTGCACTTATATGTCATTGTTTATATGCATGCAAAAACATTATTACCAGCACAGGACAAAAATTGTAAGAAGTTTAAAATCTGACAACTTGACTACATTGAACTGAAAGCATAGATATGATACTGAGAAAATGGAATCCCCAATGACAACTTTTCTATCCTCAAATTTGCCAACCACTCTCCAATTAGAAATTGTAACAAGTCAACATATCTTATGTAAGAGGAGTAAGTGGTGCTTTATAACTTAAAACACCTACTATTCCAACTATCTCCATATAGAAACAACAAGAAAAGAGGTCCTTCTTGTAATGTACAAAAACTAGCAAATATGACTGTGTTAGGTGAACTCAACACAATCAGCACAATCATTGTGCTAGGTGTGACCAACACAATCAGCACAACCAAGCAATCTTACCTGTAGATCCAGCACTATCTATCCTCATTCTCCCCAAACTTCTGGCCTTATCAAACTTGTCCATGACAGTGTGCAGTAGCTGCGGCGAGAGACCTTTCTTGGAAATGTCCATCCTCACCCTCTCACCTACGTTACAGTAGATATCCACCAGGGTGTTCATTGCCTGGTCCGACACCTTTTATGAAAAGATACCCATCATTTCATGATCTCAGGCTTAAAACTTAAGATTTTGCCAATTTTTTCTTTTCTTTTTTACTTTTCTTTACGTTTTGATAAATAAGGATTAAAAAACGAAACTGTTGTCACTTTGTGTGTTCATTGGCCAACAACTACATATAGTATAGCACCATGCATTTCTTGTTTAAATTCCCTAGATAGCTTATCTCAACATAATTTTTTTTCTTCACAAACTATAAAATTAGAAAGGTATTTTTCAATTTCCTTCAAACACAAGTTTCATATTAACTAATAAAATGATATCTCTTCACCAAAGTTTATTTTTTCTGCAGCAGAAGTGACCTACCTGTCTGTTGGGGTCATCTAATAATTTTACAATTGCGCCCACTAATTTGGACAGAGACAGACATTTGGCTCCATACCTGTAACAGAAAACACAGATATAACACCTACAGTTTATCTACTTGAAATATTACATAGTTGAAGGAAATTATGTGCAGCATAAAAGTTATAATGATAATAAAAACACTCAGAAAAGTGTACTAGTAAATATCCTTTAAATTTAATAGTAACTGTATATTTCTAGATCACAAACTGAAAGTTACTCAATTTAGTTTAATTCTAAGTGAATAAAATTTTTTAAACATGAATATGGGGGCAATGGTCACTTCAATATTTCTCAAAGATTTATTCCTACATCAAAATAACCCTCTGCTACCATTGGGATGGTAACAAAAGAAAGCAATGTCCATCAAACTGCACTTAGATTAGCCAGATTTCAGAGCACAAAGGCTGGACCAATAAACTAAAGAATATTGCACCAGTATCCTAAGTATCCTAAGTATCTAGATTCCTCAATAAAGGAAAAACAGTTTTCCACTTATCGTGTTTTTGCTGAAAGTGCAAAGCAATGACGACGGCGATGACAAAAACAGGCAGCAGCTATATGTACAGACACATAAAAAGGTATGATCTTAAAAGGTCCTGCCTGATTTGTCCCATACTCACATTTCAATGGTTTGCTGCAGACAGATGAGTGTTTCCTCCCGGACCCGCCACAGTTTATGTGAGAATCCTGTCATGAGACGGTCCCATACAGACTAAAACAGAAAATTACCAATTTGATAATAATAATAATAATAATAATAATAATAATAATAATAATAATATTATTATTATTATACTGAGAACTAAATGTATGTTCTTTTATTTATAATGTGGTAACACATTATAAATAATCCCTTTACAGAATGCGTTTTCTGACATCATCATATTACATAATAGTTGTCTGTCTTGATGATAAAATTACTAGTACATTATTTACTGCACTCAGTGTGAGAGGTTACACATTATGATACAAATATGCATCTCAGCCCTCTTATAACAATACATAGATCAATTATTTAACAAAGCTTCATATATAATTCTAAAAGATAACAAATAATGGGAACATAATTATTTTCCCTAGTCTTAAATATTTAAAGAGACTTCTCTTGCCTTAGGTGTGCACTATATTTCTGGTGATAAATTGTTTCGCCTTTTGTAACACTATTCTTTACACCTAGAGCAGGTGTCTCACAAGGAACTTAATGTAAAACTAGTTTCGATAAAAATATTTTCTCAGGTATGTTCTGATATCTGTCTGTTACATTTCAGAATACTAATTACTTACAATATGTCCAATGATGCATTTTCTCAAGAGAGAGACTGTACAATAAATTGTTTCAATGAACATCTATTATGAGAAACTGCCTTGTGTTGTTCCACCCTCTATTTTTCAGTGTAGTTTTTAGAGAAGACAGCTATTTTTGAAGAAATTGGACACATAAAGATTTATATGCTAAATTCTGAATTTTGCTTAGAGTGTATTTCTACTCCTGGGCTATTATCTACCCCAGAGATATGTCCTACAGTCAAAGTAGCTGTCTCACTCTAGCATGCCAATACTTCATTAAGTATGCCTTGGACACAGAAGGGAATGTGGGATGTCCTGCAGCTACTCTAGAAAGGTCACTAACACAGTGCTAATTTCCACCCACATCATTGAGCACATAGCTTGACAGCATACTTCTTGTACAAGTCCTATCCCATTTGAAGCTATTAGTAGGAGGGGAAGTTGTTCTAGATGTCATACCATGGAGTAGAGAACATTTCTTGATATTACAATCATAAACAAGGCATGATGTGAAACCATTTCTAAATCTGCAAAATCACACATATTAAATATATATGTCTAGGTCAGTAACAGACAGTCATTCCAATCTGTCACTGTTTTCCAGCCACATCACAAAGACAGTGTTATTTGGAGTGTCACCTATGGCAAGCAGTCAGGAAACAGGTCTAAGGGAGGAGTTAACATTTAATACTGATATTACAGTTCCTGACAGCAGGTGTATAAAAACTTAACATCACCTTCAGGTCTGGGAGCTCACTGACTGTGCTCTGTTTGAGTCATGTAGACAATAACTGTAGCCTGTCAGGTTTCTTTTTTCCTGACTTAAGTTAGTATTTTAATGACTTACCACTTAGAGTTATTCTTGAGTAAGGTCATAGACAAATTATTGAATACAGTGCTTACTTCATATGAAGTACAATCAGAATTTTTTTTTATTTGCATAGTTCAGCATTTCAAAAGCAAAAAATCCAACTGTTTGACTTTGTTCCTAAAGAGAGAAAGAGACCAACTGTTTATTACATTCCAACTCAGAAACATATAGTACACAGTTAACTCCCCAAATATTCCTATGTTATATCTCAAATTTGATATTTGAGGTAAGCTAAAACTTATAAACAATGCCAAGCTTCAATCTAAGAGTAAATAGAACAAATGTTTCCAGTTCTTAAGTTGTTAATTGTACAAGACATGGCGACACTGACCGGGTCATCCTCTGGAATACACCTGATCTAAGAGATGTCTACCACTCACAGGGAATTAGGTCAACATCATGGATGATGAGAGACTTCATCACATCATTTCAATCTTTAGAGAGAGAATCTCTGATCTGAGCACGTGTGTGTGTGTGTGTGTGTGTGTGTGTGTGTGTGTGTGTGTGTGTGTGTGTGTGTCCATGTTGCACACGCATGTGTCTAAGTGAAAGCAAATGCATGTGTGTGTGTGTGTGTGTGTGTGTCTTAATATGCATGCATGTCGCGTGTGCATGCCACAAGTAATCTACTAGTAAACTAATAACCCTGTGTTACATCACACCTAAAGCTAATAGTAAGGAATCACGTCAACTTCACAGGGACTTGATATGTAACTAACAGCTACCATTCTTATATCTGTGCTGGAAATATAGCTATTTTGGCCCAGTTATTCTGGGGGGAGAATGCTCTTCCAAATATCATGGCATTTATGTTTGTGAGATGTGTAAGACAGGTACAGGGATACTGCATGTAAGGTTGCTGGTGTTTCTTAGTGTAGTGATGAGGCATACTACATGTATATCACATCTTCGCATATAAACTGGTCACTATAAAGACAGATATGTACTACCATAGATACACCACAAGTGTGTGAGGTATATGTGAAGTACAGGAATGCAAAGCATGAGCATCTTGCCGATTGTCCATGTATCTGAATCATACCATGCTGAATGTTACACATGTCACACTCATGCATGTCTTGCTCTCGACATCCTCCACGGCACAACTGGCCATATATAAATTGTGGCATAAACTGAGTGCTTGGAACAAGCTTCAGACAAGGGGAAATGACCACATGTGATTATGACTAATGGATGACTGGCCTGAAGACTTATAGTTTTCCTCTTGCAGCCCCACCAAAATGTTAGCCCTGTAAATCGTAATTAACCTGGCCAACACAGATTTTTTCTTTTCAAACCTCAAAACATTCTCAACTGCCCTCTGGATCCAACTTGTTCCTCAATCTTGTCCTATGTATCAGAAATGTTAACTGAGAAGGTTTCCAAGCTCCTGCTCTCTGGTTTCTGTGGAAACAGGTGGTCAGAAAATAAAACTGACCAAGTGGACAATGCACTGGTCAAGCTTACCTGTGGTGTGTTGATGTGCATCAGCTTCAGTAGCACCGACTGTGACAAGTTCCTGACCTGGATAAAACAAAAACACAAACTACAGTGATAGACAGTATTAAAATTGTACATTAATATTCCTTAAAGGAGAGATTGCAAATACTGAAGTCAATATGCAATTGATTAATAGAGGTTTGATGTTTATTAAAATTAACTTTGTGTATTTCCTTTTATTTTCTTTTTCTTTTTGGGCCAGTGATGACCACTGCCCATGTCATGTTTCCAATTAGCATGCATATATGGAGGTAAGAAAATGCCTTCCACTGGGGCAGCTTGTTCTACGACTGTTCGAAACTATCAATTTAGCCCCAGGTTCACCATTCTCTACTAAAATTTAATACAATTCTCAGGTTGTTGGGTTGGAAGCAATTCCCCACAAGGATTTCCCTACAAATATGTAACTCTCAGCAGGCTATCACAACAATGAAGGTCACTCTGTATGAGTAGTTTAGGTTGTCAAACCAATATACTACACAAGAGCAATCTAAATATCTCTGAAAATCGATGTCTGCAGGATCTGGCATAAATTTTAGCACATTTCAAATTTCATTCAAGTTAACAAAATTCTGTAGTATAATGAGATTTTAAAAGTATCAATGCATCTTTTAATTTCTTATAATTCATTTTTGAAATAATTTATTACATTATCCTTTTGTAAAATGTGTGCTGCTTTCTTTATATCTCAGAACTGAGACTGATATCAAATTTATGTTATCCTGATGGCCATTAAACATAATTATTAGTATCAAATACTGCTCCTAGAGGGCAACCATGGATCAGCAAGGCAAGACAAGCCCATCTACTTACCTCATCGTGATTGTCTCCTAATCTATTTACTGCATTGGACAATACTGAAATAACAACAGAGCAATGATAAGCCAGGTGATAATACTGTGTCACTTATTTATAGAGCATAATGTATAAAGATATCAAAACTTCAGAAGCCAGTTGATTAAATCATTGTTGTGAAATGCATTTGCCAGAATGAAAGGGAGTTGAAACTTGAAATGCACTTACAAAATTACAATGAAAGAAAAGAAAACAACAAGTTTATACTTTTTTTAAAAGTTACGAATTTGACAGTTTAGGCATCAAAAATTTTAATTTCACATTAATTCCACCAAAACACAAGAATGTGGGACAAAAACAAAAATTATATTTGTTCATGACCTCAATCTTGTAATTAATATTACTGGTACAGGCCCCAACTGTGGGTATATGTAATATAATATCAAATATGAAGAAAAACACCCATTATTTTCATGCCCAGAAAAGCATTCTAACCCTGTAGACAGTGTAATCAAAAACACATTTGTCTCTACTAAGTCTCTGTTTGCTGTCACAATATTATGATCTATGGTCTAAAAAACTGTCATGAACCATATGCTATAATATCAATAAGAACCATTATCTGATTTATTATTAATCACCATTAAATCATCACTAATTAATTAAAGCAATGATGATATACTATAAATAAAGGGAAGTTGACTGGATGAAGGATGAAACTGGGAATTTGTATAGAAACTGGGAATTACTAAGAAAAATAAAACATTGCTATGTTTGCATGTGGAATAACCTTTTGAGAAATGTTAAACAAACAAAAAATTTTTAAAAAAATTAAATTTGAAGGTGTGAGGGTTTAAGTGATTTTTGAATTATGAACGAGTATAAAAAAGCTTAAAGGTCTCGCTTAGTCACTGGCATAGATCCACCAGCAGATTACATTACAATAAATACAATATATTTTGGCTGAGTAAAAAGTGCAAATTGAGAAGATATAGAAATGACAGTTAAAAAGCAATTATGTGTCCATTTAGTGTAAATCATTCATCACAACAAATAACAAATTCCTATCTCCACAAATAATTTACAACAAGTGAACTTCTGACACTTAAAAATGATTTAATAAAAACAATCACTTTTCTATAATTTTGGTCATGTTCAAACCCCAGCCAGGCAAGTACTGCTGGAGACATACTTTAGTTACTACTAATATCCAACTGTTACTGCATACCAAAACATAAAAAATGTTCCCAACTGATCTAACTCAGACCAGAAAAATTCAGCGGTCAACATATGAGGCATGTACACAATAAATCTAGCTTAGAGGAAATAATATTCAAACGTTAATACAAGTGGGGTTCACATCTTGATTTAACTTAAACCAGAAATAGTCAATCTGATGTTGTTGGCCAAATAAAGCACAGAATCTCATACAAAACACTACACAGAGATTTTTATCATTCAAAATGTATGTCTTAATTAAGTGTGGGGAAATTATTTACTTTTACATATTTTTGAAAATTAGGATTCGCACTATGTGAACTTCTTATAAAACATCTGATTTATCAAGCATTGAACTAAGGCCACACTTTTTTAATTTTATGGATGACATCCTGCGCGCGCACCGATTTTCGTCCGTTCTCCAAAAAAAAAAAAAAAAAATCCCAAGAGCGTCGTGGTATTTGGTGGACTGAAGGTCAGACAGGCCACCCGATAGTTGGCTGCTACGTGTGAGTCGAAGTAGACAAAATGGCATCGACCGAAATTACCTTTTTTAGATTTGGTAGTAGGAAGCATAGGCCTATCTTTGCTTCATTTTTTAACAATTTTGTGAAGTGTTCACAATGCTTAAATTTTCTGAGAGTACAAATAATGACACGCTGTTTATTTGATATTTGTTTTATTGATTGCTATGCCAACAGAATGCATGAAATAACCTGAAATAGATTTGGTAATATGCAGCACATATATATTCATGACTTTTTACCTTTCTACGAAGTAGGCCCTATTCACAATGCTTTAATATTTTGAGAGCATGGATAAAGACATGTTGTTAGTTTGTTACGTGTTTCTGTGGTAAATTAGTGTTTCCAGCTGTGTACTGAAAACATAACTTTTCTTAAGCAGTTTTTTTTTTTTTGACTGTTTTTTTTTTTTTTCGCCCGCTCGCGCCGATTTTGGGGTCCCCAGAGGATGTCATCCATAAAAATAAAAAAGTGTGGCCTAAAGTAAATTTCTGAAGCCCAAAATCAGCAATGCTAATGTCTGACCTAAGTATGACCAAGGGTGGGGGTCACTGAAGCCTGGCTATATGGGTCAACATATCTCCCCTGACATAGTGAAGCAGGATTAATATGTTTCTGATAGCTATCTGTGGACAATTTATGACAACAACAGTAAATACATGAGATAGTGACCTCAGCAATAAAGGTATTTGTTGACAGGCCCATCACAAAGTTCATGGCTCAGTCACACACATATTCTGCTCAAAAGATTACGGTAAAGATTTTATATTTTCAAATTCCTTACTTATTGCAATAATATATTTCCTTAAAATTCATCATTAAAACATTGCACCTATGATCCCCACATTAAGGAGGACACTGATTAAAGTGAAAGGTGTGACTGTTCATCTTATTTCCTGTGCTAAAGCATAAAGAGTATCAAAAAGGTGTATAATATATGGTCAAATTGTATTTATGTATTGGGAAATATGCTTTATAAGTCACCAAAAGTGAAGATCTATGAAAAACCTTGTTTTAGTTATATGTATGCTGGTTAATATAAATTTTTAATGTCATCTGCATTACATATATACATGTGATTTAAAAGAAGAACACACAGTCCTGTGAACTTTACTTACCTGTCATTGTGTGGCTTTTAAAGCGCTCCCCCATCCGATCTATTAAAAGTGAAAGTACTTCTAAACCATTACCAGATATCTAAAAAAGATAACAAAATAAGATTATGAATATGGTTCATGAAGCTAACAAGTCTGACTGTAGCTATTCAAATAGTCTTCACTTTAAACCCCCCCCTCCCCATTACTTCCCTTCAATTATTTCACCCAAAATGACCACATGCCGCCCTAAAATGACCTCACAAAACCTCTTAGCTGAAACAACACCCAACCCCCTAAAATACTTCTTAGTTTCATTCAGACTCAGTTATCTCCAACATGTGATGAGTCTCTTGTTTATATTATAACAAGTTCACTATCAGAAAACATCAGTAAGCACAGCCATAGCATGTAGTGTTTTCCCCAAGTGTACCTCACTGTACAGTAGAAATTAAAGAGATACAACAGGCTAGCTGGCTAGATGTTATTACAAACCTCTCACAACTTTTACAGATACTCAGCATTCTGATATATATATATATATATATAAACCCAAAAAAAGTTCAATATTTTTCCTTTTTTCTCTTGGGGAGAGGGTATCTTTATTGTATTTTCCTCACTTTTTGTCTTCTTTACACCACTTGTTCAGTACTATAATCCTATCTTTCCATTGACTCCCTGGCCTGAACTGAACACAGACCACAGATCTCATATATTGATATCAACATTTCTGATCAGCTGTCTGAGCACAGACATCTAAACCTAATGCTGCTATATGTGTACTAGGTCTGGGCTACTTATCTGCTCAATGTTCAGCTGTGCAGACACAGACTCAGCCATGCAAAGGCATGCCAAATAATTTATGGTAAATACTCATTACTTTTGAACAAGCCAAATTGATATTCTCCAACAGAATATTTTCGTTTGTAAAATTTTTGACTCAGAAAATATTCAAAGTCATGTATGGCTTCATGGAACATTTCAGTGAATATATAACAATGGGGGATCTTGATTTAGAGAAAAATACTGGCCAGTGAATGGGATATTTGAAATGATCAGGAAATTACTGTAGCAGATAGCAGGAAACCAGACCTGATGCACAAGCATGCCCTGAACAATGCTGTCCACCAGATAATAAGGAATCCCTGATGCTGCAGAAGTCTATTGAAAGGAACATGAGATTGTGCAGTGGAAGGCCAACCATGGGACTCTGACAGCCAATGTTTGTGTTCACATCATTACCTCAGGTGTAAAGTTACCTAGATATGAGAACAGGTGGTAGAGGAAGAGGCAGGTAGATGGATCGATGGAGGCAGACCAAATACTATATGTTGTTGTATTATAGGAAAAACAGTGGGGCTTGATGTATTAGGCTGACTTCTGAGACCTCTCTCCTCCCCTCTCTCTCTCTCTCACTCTCTCACTCTCTCTCTCTCTGTCACTGTGCATGCAAATGCTAAAGAATGTTACTGTGTGTGCTCACATGCTAGCATGTGCATGAAAGGGAGAGAGAGATTTTCACTGTAGACATTAACTTTCCCTGCACATATGCACATACACCACAACACCTTGGAAACCATAACGATGACAACAATATTATAAATAAAAATGACATCAGATAATATAGCCTTAAGACTGCACACTGTAATTAGTAACACCTTTCCTTTTGGGTGTAATAATTCACCTCGAGTCTCCAACAGGTGCCTGACACACTGAGGAGATAATATGCAGCTTGAGACAGTCACTAACTGGAGATCTGATGTCTTTCTACATGGACAATCAACATTAACAATGCTTTGAGAGGCACTGCTGGAATGCTGGATCGTCATTATCATGATTATNCGGCATCGCCATCGGCGACGACAGACGCAGGTGATGGCAATACGTACAGACACATCTGTGTCTGTACATAATAAAAACACTCAGAAAAGTGTACTAGTAAATATCCTTTAAATTTAATAGTAACTGTATATTTCTAGATCACAAACTGAAAGTTACTCAATTTAGTTTAATTCTAAGTGAATAAAATTTTTTAAACATGAATATGGGGGCAATGATCACTTCAATATTTCTCAAAGATCCATTCCTACATCAAAATAACCCTCTGCTACCATTGGGATGGTAACAAAAGAAAGCAATGTTCATCAAACTGCACTTAGATTAGCCAGATTTCAGAGCACAAAGGCTGGACCAATAAACTAAAGAATATTGCACCAGTATCCTAAGTATCCTAAGTATCTAGATTCCTCAATAAAGGAAAAACAGTTTTCCACTCATTGTGTTTTTGCTGAAAGTGCAGAGCAATGACGACGGCGATGAAAAAAAAAACAGGCAGCAGCTATATGTACAGACACATAAAAAGGCATGATCTTAAAAGGTCCTGCCTGATTTGTCCCATACTCACATTTCAATGGTTTGCTGCAGACAGATGAGTGTTTCCTCCCGGACCCGCCACAATTTATGTGAGAATCCTGTCATGAGACGATCCCATACAGACTGAAACAGAAAATTACCAATTTAATAATAATAATATTAATAATAATAATAATAATAATAATATTTTACTGAGCAATAAATGTATGTTCTTTTATTTATAATGTGGTAACACAATCATAAATAATCCTTTTACAGAATGTGTTTTCTATATTACATAATAGATGGTTGTCTGTCGTGATGATAAAATTACATTATTTATTGCACTCATTGTGAGAGGTTACTGTTACACATTATGATGCAAATATGCATCTCAGCCCTCTTATAACAATATATAGATCAATTATTTCACAAAGCTTTATATATAATTCTAAAATATAACAAATAATAGGAACATAATTATTTTCCCTAGTCTTAGAGATTTAAAGAGACTTATCTTGCCTTAAGTGTGCACTATATTTCTGGTGATAAATTGTTTCGCCTTTTGTAACACTATTCTTTACACCTAGAGCAGGTGTCTCACAAGGAATTTTATGTAAAACTAGTTTCGACAAAAACATTCTCTCAGGTATGTTCTGATATCTGTCTGTTACATTTTAGAATACTAATTACTTACAGTATGTCCAATGATGCATTTTCTCAAGAGAGAGACTGTACAATAAATTGTTTCAATGAACATCTATTATGAGAAACTGACGTATGTTGTTCTGCCCTCTATTTTTCAGTGTAGTTTTTAGAGAAGACAGCTATTTTTGAAGAAATTGGATACATATAGATTTATATGCTAAATTCTGAATTTTGCTTATAGAGTATTTCTATTCCTGGGCTATCATATACCCCAGAGATATATCCTACAGTCAAAGTATCTGTCTCACTTCAGCATACCAATACTTCATTAAGTATGCCTTGGACACAGAAGGGAATGTGGGATGTCCTGCAGCTACTCTAGAAAGGTCACTAACACAGTGCTAATTTCCACCCACATCATTGAGCACATAGCTTGACAGCATACTTCTTGTATAAAGTCCTAGCCCATTTGAAGCTATTAGTAGGAGAGTGGAAGTTGTTCTAGATGTCATAGCATGGAGTACAGAACATTTCTTGATATTATGATCATAAATAAGGCATGATGTGAAACCATTTCTAAATCTGCAAAATCACATGTATTAAATATATATGTCTAGGTCAGTAAAGGACAGTCGTTCCAATCTGTCACTGTTTTCCAGCCACATCACAAAGACAGTGTTATTTGGAGTGTCACCTATGGCAAGCAGTCAAGAAACAGGTCTAAGGGAGAAGTTAACATTTAATACTGATATTACAGTTCCTGACAGCAGGTGTATAAAAACTTTACATCACCCTCAGGTCTGGGAGCTCACTGTCTGTGTTCTGCTTGAGTCATGTAGACAATAACTGTAGCCTGTCAGGTTTCTTTTTTCCTGACTTAAGTTAGTATTTTAATGACTTACCACTTAGAGTTATTCTTGAGTAAGGTCATAGACAAATTATTGAATACAGTGCTTACTTCATATGAAGTACGATCAGAATTTTTTTTTTTATTTGCATAGTTCAGCATTTCAATAGAGCAAATAATCCAACTGTTTGACTTTTTCCTAAAAAAAAAGAAAGAGACCAACTGTTTGTTACATTCCAACTCAGAAACATATAGTACACAGTTAACTCCCCAAATATTCTCATGTTATATCTCAAATTTGATATTTGATATAAGCTAAAACTTATAAGCAATGCCAAGCTTCAACCTCAGCGTAAATAAAAAAACTGTGCCAGTCCTAAAAGTGGTCAAGTTGTTAATTGTACAAGACATGTCGACACTGACCGGGTCATCTTCTGGAAAACACCTGATCTAAGAGATGTCTACCACTCACAGGGAATTAGGTCAACATCATGGATGATGAGGGACTTCATCACATCATTTCAATCTTTAGAGAGAGAATCTCTGATCTGTGCACGTGTGTGTGTGTGTGTGTGTGTATGCGTGTTGCACAGGTAAGTGTCTAACCGCATGTGAATGTATGTGTGTGTCAGTCTAAGTATGCATGCATGTCATGTGTGCATGCCACAAGTAATCTACTAGTAAACTAATAACCTTGTGTTACATCACACCTAAAGCTGATAGTAAAGAATCACGCCAACTTCACAGGGACTTGATATAACTAGCAGCTACCATTCTTATACAGTATCTGTGCTGGAAATACAGCTACTTTGGCCCAGTTATTCTGGGGGAGAATGCTCTTCCAAATATCATGGCATTTATGCGTGTGAGATGTGTAGGACAGGTACAGGGATATGGCATTTAAGGTTGCTGGTGTTTTTTAGTGTAGTGATGAGGCAAACTACACCTATATCACATCTTTTTCGCATATAAACTGGTCATGATAAAGACAGATATGTAATACTGTAGATGCACCACAAGTGCGTGAGGTTTATGTGAAGTACAGGAATGAAAAGCATGAGCATCTTGCGGATTGTTGGTATATCTAAATTATACCATGCTAAATGTTGCACATGTCACACTCATGCATGACATGCGCTCGACATCCTCCATGGCACAAATGACCATATATAAATTGTGACATAAACTGAGTGCTTGGAACAAGCTTCAGACAAGGGGAAATGACCGCATGTGATTATGACTAATGGATAACTGGCCCGAAGACTTATAGTTTTCCTCTTGCAGCCCCACCAACATGTTAGCCCTGCAAATCATAATTAACCTGCCAGGATAGAATTTTTTTTTTTTCAAATTTCAAAACATTCTCAACTGTCCTCTGGATCCGATTTGTTCCTCAATCTCTTCCTAAGTATAAGAAATGTTAACTGAGAAGGTTTCAAAGCACCTGCCCTTTGGTTTCTGTGGATACAGGTGGTCAGAAAATAAAACTGACCAAGTAGACAGTGCACTGGTCAAGCTTACCTGTGGTGTGTTGATGTGCATCAGCTTCAGTAGCACTGACTGTGACAAGTTCCTGACCTGGATAAAGCAAAAACACAAACTATAGTGATAGACAGTAAAGTGTACATTTAATATTCCTTAAATAACGGCTTACAAATACTGAAGTCAATATGCAATTGATTAATAGAGGTTTGATGTTTACTAAAATTAACTTTGTGTATTTCTTTATTTTTTTCTTTTTCTTTTTGGGCTAGTGATGACCACTGCCCATGTCATGTTTCCAATTAGCATGCACATATGGGGCAGCTTGTTCTACTACTGTTCAAAACTATCAATTTAGCCCCAGGTTCACCATTCTCTACTAAAATTTAAAACAATCCTCAGGTTGTTGGGTTGGAAGCAATTTCCCATAAGGATTTCCCTACAAATATGTAACTCTCAGCAGGCTATCACAACAATGAAGGTCCCTCTGTATGAGTAGTTTAGGTTGTCAAACCAATATACTACACAAGAGCAATCTAAATATCTCTGAAAATCGATGTCTGCAGGATCTGGCATAAATTTTAGCACATTTCAAATTTCATTCAAGTTAACAAAATTCTGTAGTATAAAGAGATTTTAAAAGTATCAATGCATCTTTTAATTTCTTATAATTCATTTTTGAAATAATTTATTACATTATCCTTTTGTAAAATGTGTGCTGCTTTCTTTATATCTAAGAACTGAGACTGATATCAAATTTATTTTATCCTGATGGCCATTAAACATAATTATTAGTATCAAATACTGTTCCTAGAGGGCAACCATGGATCAGCAAGGCAAGACAAGCTTATCTACTTACCTCATCATGATTGTCTCCTAATCTATTTACTGCATTGGACAATACTGAAATAACAACAGAGCAATGATAAGCCAGGTGATAATACTGTGTCACTTATTTATAGAGCATAATGTATAAAGATATCAAAACTTCAGAAGCCAGTTGATTAAATCATTGTTGTGAAATGCATTTGCCAGAATGAAAAGGAGTTGAAACTTGAAATGCACTTACAAAATTACAATGAAAGAAAAGAAAACAACAAGTTTATACTTTTTTTAAAAGTTACGAATTTGACAGTTTAGGCATCAAAAATTTTAATTTCACATTAATTCCACCTAAACACAAGAATGTGGGACAAAAACAAAAATTATATTTGTTCATGACATCAATCTTGTAATTAATATTACTGGTACAGGCCCCAACTGTGGGTATATGTAATATAATATCAAATATGAAGAAAAACACCATTATTTTCATGCCCAGAAAAGCATTCTAACCCTGTAGACAGTGTAATCAAAAACACATTTGTCTCTACCAAGTCTCCGTTTGCTGTCACAATATTATGATCTACGGTCTAAAAAACTGTCATGAACCATACACTATAATATTAATAAGAACCATTATCTGATTTATTATTAATCACCATTAAATCATCACTAATTAATTAAAGCAATGATATACTATAAATAAAGGGATGTTGACTGGAATAAGGATGAAACTAGGAATATGTATAGAAACCAGAAATTAATACAAAAAATAGAAGCAAAAGTATGTTTGCATATGCAATAACCTTTTGAGAAATGTTAAACGAACATAAAATTTCAAAAATTTAATTATATTTGAAGGTTTGAGGGTTTAAGTGATTTTTAAATTATGAACAAGTATAAAAAAGGTTAAAGGTCTCGCTTAGTCACTGACATAGATCTACCAGCAGATTACTATACATTACAATAAATACAATCTATTTTGGCTGAGTAAAAAGTGCAAATTGAGAAGATATAGAAATGACAGTTAAAAAGCAATTATGTGTCCATTTAGTGTAAATCATTCATCACAACAAATAACGATTTCCTATCTCCACAAATAATTTACAACAAGTGAACTTCTGACACTTAAAAATTATTTAATAAAAACAATCACTTTTCTATAATTTTGGACATGTTCAAACCCCAGCCAGGCAAGTACTGTTGGAGGCATACTTTAGTTACTACTAATATCCAACTGTGACTGCATACCAAAACATAAAAAATGTTCCCAACTGATCTAACTCAGACCAGAAAAATTCAGCGGTCAACATATGAGGCATGTTCACAATAAATCTAGCTTAGAGGAGATAATATTCAAACGTTAATACAAGTGGGGTTCACATCTTGATTTAACTTAAACCAGAAATAGTCAATCTGATGTTGTTGGCCAAATAAAGCACCGAATCTCATACAAAACACTACACAGAGATTTTTATCATTCAAAATGTATGTCTTAATTAAGTGTGGGGAAATTATTTACTTTTACATATTTTTGAAAATTAGGATTCGCATTATGTGAACTTCTCATAAAATACTTGATTTATCAAGCATTGAACTGAGCAAAATTTCTGAAGCCCAAAATCAGCAATGCTTATGTCTGACCTAAGTTAGACCAAGGGTGGGGGTCACTGAAGCTTGGCTATATGGGTTAACATATCTCCCCTGACATAGTGAGGCAGGATTAATATGTTTCTGATAGCTATCTGTGGACAATTTATGACAACAACAGTAAATACATGAGATAGTGACCTCAACAGTAAAGGTATTTGTTGACAGGCCCATCACAAAGTTCATGGCTCGCACACATATTCTGCTCTAAAAGATTACGGTAAAGGATTGAAATTTTCAAATTCCTAACTTATTGCAACATTATACTTCCTTATAATTTATTATTAAAACATTGCACCAATGATCCCCAAATTAAGGAGGACACCGATTAAAGGTAATGGTGTAACTGTTCACGTTATTTCCTGTGCTAAAGCATAAAGAGTATCAAAAGGGTGTATAATATATGGTCAAATTGTATTTATGTATTGGGAAATATGCTTTTTAAGTCACCAAAAGTGAAGATCTATGAAAAACCTTGTTTTAGTTATATGTATGCTGGTATAATATAAATTTTTAATGTCATCTGCATAACATATATACATGTGATTTAAAAAAAGGACACACAGTCCTGTGAACTTTACTTACCTGTCATTGTGTGGCTTTTAAAGCGCTCCCCCATCCGATCTATTAAAAGTGAAAGTACTTCTAAACCATTACCAGATATCTGAAAAAGTTAACAAAATAAGATTATGTATATGGTTCATGAAGCTAACGAGTCTGACTGTAGCTAATCAAATAGTCTTCACTTTAACCCCCCCTCCCCATTGCCCCCCAACACCTGGGTACTTCCCATCAATTATTTCATAGTGCATCTTCACCCAAAATGACCACATGCCGCCCTAAAATGACCTCACAAAACCTCTTAGCTGAAATTACACCCCACCCCCTAAAATACTTCTTAGGGTGCTTTCCCAGAGGTTTAGATCGATCTAAAGATTAAGATTTAGATCGACCTAACTCCCTGGGGGTTCACGCTAAATTGCAGTCAGCCGAGCGGGCACCATAGTTAATTACCTCCTTACAGCTTTTAGTAGGCGGGACAGACGCTTAACCCGGCCAAGCTGACAGTAATCTAGTGAGACTCCCCACAGGGATAGATCGATCTAAAAATCTATGGAAATGGGGTGTTAGTTTCATTCAGATTCAGTTATCTCTAAACATGTGATGAGTCTCTTGTTTATATTATAACAAGTTCACTATCAGAAAACATCATTTAGCACAGCCATAGCATGTACAGTAGTGTTTTCCCCCAGTGTACCTCACTGTACAGTAGAAATAAAAGATATAACAGGCTAGCTGGCTAGATGTTATTACAAACCTCTCACAACTTTTACAGATACTCAGCATTCTGATATATATATATATTATATATATATTCTGATATGGCTGTGCTAAATGATGTTTTCTGATAGTGAACTATATATATATAAACACAAAAAATTTCAATATTTTTCCTTTTTTCTCTTGGGGAGGGGGTATCTTTATTGTATTTTCCTCACTTTTTGTCTTCTTTACACCACTTGTTCAGTACTATAATCCTATCTTTCCATTGACTCCCTGGCCTGAACTGAACACAGACTACAGATCTCATATATTGATATCAACATTTCTGATCAGCTATCTGAGCACAGACATCTATACCTAATGCTGCTATATGTGTACTAGGTCTGGACTGGTTATCTGCTCAATGTTCAGCTGTGCAGACACAGACTCAGCCATGCAAAGGCATGCCAAGTAAGTTGTGGTAAATGCTCATTACTTTTGAACAAGCCAAATTGATATTCTCCGACAGAATATTTTCGTTTGTAAAATTTTTGACTCAGAAAATATTCAAAGTCGTGTATGGCTTCAACAAAGATTTCAGTGAATAAATAACAATGGGGGATCTTGATTTAAAGAAAAAATACTGGCCAATTCATGAATGGGATATTTGAAATGATCAGGAAATTACTGTAGCAGATAGCAGGAAACCACACCTGATGCACAAGCATGCTCTGAACAATGCTGTCCACCAGATAATAAGGAATCCCTGATGCTGCAGAAGTCTATTGAAAGGAACATGAGATTGTGCAGTGGAAGGCCAACCATGGGACTCTGACAGCCAATGTTTGTGTTCACATCATTACCTCAGGTGTTAAGTTACCTAGATGAGAACAGGTGGTAGAGGAAGAGGCAGGTAGATGGATCGATGGAGGCAGACCAAATACTATATGTTGTTGTATTATAGGAAAAACAGTGGGGCTTGATGTATTAGGCTGACTTCTCAGACCTCTCCCCCCCCCCCCCTCTCTCTCCCTCTCTCTCACTCTCTCTCTCTCATTCTCTCTGTCACAGTGCATGCAAATGCTAAAGAATGTTACTGTGTGTGCTCACATGCTAGCATGTGCATGAAAGGGAGAGAGAGATTTTCACTGTAGACATTAACTTTCCCTGCACATATACACATACACCACAACACCTTAGAAACCATAACGATGACCACAATATTATAAATAAAAATGACATCTAATAATATAGCCTCAAGACTGCAAACTGTAATTAGTAACACCTTTCCTTTTGGGTGTAATAATTCACTCTGAGTCTCCAACAGGTGCCTGACACACTGAGGAGATAATATGCAGCTTGAGACAGTCACTAACTGGAGATCTGATGTCTTTCTACATGGACAATCAACATTAACAATGCTATGAGAGGCACTGCTGGAATGCTGGATCGTCATTATCATGATTCTACAGAGAAATTCAATTAGCAGTTTCCTAGATGATCCCATGGTTGTTTTAAAGCTAGCCAAAGGCTGCACTAACAGGGAATGGAGGGAAATTAAGTCTAGACATTTGGGAAAACAATTCACAATACACATTCAATAGTATTGAGTGAAATTCAGCTTTGCCAGTTTGGAATTGTAAAAATACATAGTATGCATATCATAGGATGATATAAAACATATAATACAACCTTTTTATTTTTACAATTTTAATTTTGAGAGAGAGAGAGAGAGAGAGAGAGAGAGAAAGGGGGGGGGCTTACCTTATAGTTACTACTGTTCATCCATGCCACCAAACCGTCCACAAACTCGTCCATATTCTCACACTGCAATGATGACCGCGGCTCACTTAAGTATCCAACGAGTCCATTGTACGCATCCAGGCGCTTGTGCGTGTCATTTGTGACCACGTTGGCCATGAAATCATCCAAACTAGACGCCATTTTGACTAGATCTGCTGTGCCTCAGTCTCCTATAGCTGTGTTACAGTAAATTGGGTGTGACTGGTTATTTAAGGTGGTCTACCAAATACAAGTGCCACCTCTGAGACACAGGATGGTGACTTAATTTAAAGTGCCACCCCCGGTTTCAAGGATCTCTGTATTCCTAGTCCACGAGCATGGTCCTTTTTTTTAGCCTGAAACATACAAGACAGCCACATTAAAATATATAAAGACATTGCAGAATCCTTGTTTTGAAGCCTTGCTCTTTCTGTATGCCAGTCTTTTTAGGTTTCAGTAGCTGTCATCGTCAAAGATGAATAATGACATATAAAACATTGTATGGGGAATACCGTTGAAGTACTGCCAAGATTGCAAAATGATGCATCTTTCTTCCTAAGCTGAAATATGGAAAAAATGCATCAATCAGCTAAAAACCTACTATGTGCTAATGGCTTCTACGTACATATATTGTAGACATAAATTTACATATGTAATAAATCAACTCTCATACTAGTATTTTCAATGGTCTAATACATGCAAATATTTCATATTACAAATAGGTTTTTGCAAAAAGTTTTATTGCTGTGCTGCTATTTCAATAGAATCAACAGTACAAAAATATATATTTTTACAGTTGTTATTGCATTACAAATATGCATTCCACCCAAAAGGATATATATAGGTTACATATGCTAATAAAAATGAGAAAAAACACTGAAAAAAAGACAAATCACACAACAAATTATCTCAGTCTTGTTATATCAAAACTTAAAATCACCAGCATAGTCTCCACATGCAATGCCAGACTTGCCAATTTGTCAATAATAACATACACCAATATGTTTTCACATAATCCTAATACATCTGTTTCTCCATTCACACACAGACACTTCCAATACAAGCCGAGGGCAGGCACATGGCATTTGTCTGACACTGTGCAATTTCTTCCCATAAGTCTAAAAAAAATCAATGTTTACATCATTCATCTTGCTTTCTCATCCATACTACAGCAGTTGTAGCTCCATGTCATTAAAGGTACATACGAACCGAGCGTCGGTGGAGTGTGGAATCCCAATAATACATGTAAACCACTTCTACTAGATTCTTATATGACTCAAATAAATTCGACATGCCAAGGGAAAAACTGAATCTATCACTCGATCAGCCATAAAAGACCTTTAGACTGCTCCTTTCTTTAAATTTATGGTTGTAAATTTAACCTATTTTCGTGACCTACTTTCCCGCCCCATTGACATACAGCTTAGAATGCCAGCAGAAAAATCTGTTCAAACATCATTTTCGGGTCAAATTAAACAATGCCTTTTGGTAATTCTCTTAGTTATACTACTTGAAACTATATGCTGGCATTTGGTTGGTTTTTGTGACAAAAAATTGACTTTGTATGTATCTTTAAGAAATGGTTTTCACCTTCGTTAAGTTGGTATAATATAACACTTTTGTTGTCAGTAAGTGATAATGCACTACAATCACAAACATCAAGTAAATTACAACACTTGTGACATTGTCCATGTTGTTAAGTTTTAGTTCTCAGAAAGAACTGACGAGTTTTGCACTGTAACCGCAATTATAGCCAGTTTTCTAGTGTACATTCTAGAAGACTTCTACAAGTACACTCATTTTTTGCACACACTACTTATCTCTTTTTATAAATTTTCTGTTATTTAAAAAAGAGAAAAAAGACTATGGCTTCTAAATCTTGCTCCACACAGAAACTAATTTCTACCCTGATTTCAAGTAAACAACTGCAACTCAACTCAGTGCGTGAAGTAGCTAAAGAATAAAGAATACTAAATTTCCACACAAACAATACAAATGTCCGCCTTGCAGAACAGTGATGCAACTGCTGTTGTAATATTTCATAACAAAAAACTCTGCCACAGTAGCAGTTCTTGTATTAGAACTGCCAAGCATAATCAATGATCCCAAATTCCTATATGGCTGCTACATATGAGAACTATTTGCACTACAGAAGAAAGGCAATTACAGAGAGCAAATGTATTAATGGCTTGACAACCAAACTGTGATAAGCAAATGATCATTGGAAAGATACAGCATACACTATAGGATCAGTGGCTATCACCAAATCTACTAACGAGATTATGCAAATGAATCTAAATTGCTAATGTATGTGTTTCAGGATGCTGGTCAATTACTGTGACTTGGACCCCATTTCCAGAGATTAGATCGATCTACTTTAGATCGACCTAACTCCCTGGGGGTTCACGCTAAATAGCTGTCAGCCGAGCGGACACGAAAGTTAATTACCCCCTTACAGCTTGTAGTAGGCGGGACGGACATTTCAGCCGGATTATCTGACAGTAATCTAGTGAGACTCCCCGCGGGGATAGATCGATCTAAAAGCTCTGAGAATACAGCCTTGGATTTAAAATGTTGGGTGCAGATAATGTACTGTAAGCACTGCACAAGGAGACAAACCATATTTCTGCTGCATGGCGAGTATTTTGACATAAACTAGCCACGTTTATCTTTCAGTTTCTTTTAATATCAATTTCAGACCATATTAACATTAACATGTAAGGAAATGAGAATGAATTCAATATTTCCCCTTGATATGTCTGATTTAAATATGTAATAGAGGTAAAATATTCCATACAGCTGTGCACAATAAGAGCAGAGAAATGAGATGAAACAAGTTTTTTTATGATTTTTTAATTTCAATTACATTTTCGAGAGTGGGATCCAATTCTCACTATAAATTCCACACTACATAACACTGTGACAGATATAAATTGGCCTCTTAATTAAGTATTAACTGAGAAGCACCTTCATATATTACCTCCATACTCTGCCTTGATAGCACTCCAATTACCTGCCTTGTGAAACATAAAACAAGCCAATAAATGTAAATAAATTGTTATAGACATCTGTTATATAAACCACAATAGAAGGTCATACGTAAATGTAGAATGTGACAAACATCAGAGTGATTGTGTCCCATCATACATTGTCCATCTTGGGTTACTTTACTGGGCAGTGGTCAGCTACACAATGGACTGACTAGTTACTGAGGGGTAATGTGGTAAGGGGATAGGGGCTGATTTCAATGGTGTCCCACACACATATTTACAGCTCAATATGTCTGCTATTCTCCACTTAGTAGGACTTACTTTTTACATCTTTAATTTAAGTGTGTGTGTGTGTGTGTGTGTGTGTGTGTGTGTGTGTATGTGTGTGTGTGAGAGAGAGAGAGAGGCTCTATTCCCATAGATTTTAGATCGATCTATCCCCACGGGGAGTTCCACCAGATTACTTTCAGATAATCCGACTTAAATGTCCGTGCCGCCTACTACAAGCTGTAAGGGGGTAATTAACTTTCATGTCCGCCCGGCTGACAGCTATTTAGCGTGAACCCCCAGGGAGTTAGGTCGATCTAAAGTAGGTCGATCTAATCTATGGAAATGGGGTGAGAGAGAGAGTGTAAATGCCTATGGGTGTCTGCAAGTACTAGTACATGTACCTCCATATTTGTATACATGTGGATCTGCTTAGCAAACTAGTGAACCAGACTGTCAATTTCTCTCAGGATTATAAATGTCAGAATTATCAACAGAATTATAATACTAGTAAGTTCTCAAGTGTCTCATTATGTTTAGCATTACACATATTTTCCAAAGTCAATTTTATAGGATGGTATACCTACTATAGGTGAATATTACCATGCAAACTGACCGTCTCATACTAACCTGTAAGTGGCAGCTTTCATAGGTGAACGCATACACAATACTAACTGCATCAACAGACTTTTATTATGATTCTGAAGAGTCTTCAATACAATAATGCATTTGGTGTAAAAAGCCATGACTAAAGCAAATACTTCATGACCTGCCTCGTGTTCAAAAGTACGTACCTGTCTGATCTACCTAGTATTATGTACAGGATTGGCATCCAGCTTACATTTTAAATTTTTAAGCTATATGGGATAGTTGTGAAACATACAAAGCTTTTATTTTTTTTTTTGAAAACAAGGGTTATTTTTTCCTTTTACCAGTACATCACCTTCTGATGATTTTTCTGAACTAAAAGAGATAAAAAGTTCTGAAAAATCGCTAGCTTTTGTTGATCATTTTGTGTATAAACTTTGATAACAGATGAAATTATGATAAATTAATCTGTCTATAGCAACCTTATTTAAATAAATTAATGTTGTATACAAACTAGATCATCAGTATAGCCATTAGTTAATCTACAATTCCTATATACACCCAGGAAATACAGTTACAGTGACATATTTTATAATACAGCATTCAGTTCACCTTCACAGGAACATGTACCGTAATTACCAGTAAATTCCCAATGCCTCAGATACTATACTAGAAGTAGCATATTTCTTACTGTTTCAGCATTTAGTTCATCTTAGTTACTTATTTAAAAAACACTTCGGTTTGGTTGGAATTTGAAAAACAGGGCTCCAAATTTATTTTCTTCCTGAGACAGACCACCTAGGCTCCATAAGCTACATAATAAAACAAATCTAAAAATGGACACTCCAAATTAAAATGGGGAAGTCCTCCTAAAGAAGGCCAGACAGTTGCTTTACCCTGCATTAAAATGTTTAAGTTTACCAACTTGAAGGCAACAAAAAATCTAACATTTAATCATTCATTATTGAACAAAACATATTTTTGTGGTAACTACTACTAGTAATTAATTTAGCTCAAATTTACAGAGCAATTACCGTACTAGTAACTATCAGATAGAAGCATGTAGTTTACCAAATAGTTGGTGTTATTCCAGGTAAACAGGAGTTATCCCAAACCTTCAGGATTTCTGAGATCAATCTGGGGAAAGGCCAACTTCATGTTAAGTAGAAGTTGCATACAGACCCACATCAAACGGCAAGTGCTACACATGGAGGTTGAGATATGTTAAATCTTATCAAATTGGAAATACTCATCACTACTTCCTGTCTACAGCTAAGGTCTACGTAATATGTATTTAAACATATTATAAACATCTGACTTATTTCAGCTGACATTAGTCAGCATGCTGGCTGAGTAACTTTCTTCATATAGCTGATTACTGTTGTCATTGATAACCATTTTCAACATAAACTTAAACAGCACTATTTTTATCCACAAACATAAACATAAGCACACACAAAAAATAAGTAAACGATAAAATAGACTGAATAGACCTAAATATTTTCCTTATAGGAAAATAATAATTATAACTATTATTACTATTATATGTAATGTAATAAGATAGACCATAAACAATGGTCTTAAATATGCATTGTCAATAAACTAACTAAAGCATACCTTCATTAAGAGTCAGCTTCACGTTCACATGTACAGAGAAAAGAAACAAGTATATCATTATACAATGTACTCAGTAAGTACCTTACAGCCAGCAGACATAATATTTCTCAATTTCTCATTTTGAACAGGATAAATTTATAGTAATGGCAATATGCCATGGGCCCTGGTTTCCTAGCCCTGATTCAGCTGCCAAGTGCTAGTACTGGCTTCAGTCAGCTCACCTGAGCCCACAGTTGCCGTGAGAAAACAGCAGTGAGCAGCTCACACTTGCTGTACTGACTGAGCCCACAGACAGCCATGAGATAACAGCAGTGAGCCCACAGTCAGCCATGAGATAACAGCAGTGAGCAGCTCACATTTGCTGTACTGACTGAGCCCACAGACAGCCATGAGATAACAGCAGTGAGCAGCTCACACTTGCTGTACTGACAGAGCCCACAGACAGCCATGAGATAACAGCAGTGAGCAGTTCACACTTGATGTACTGACAGAGCCCACAGACATTAATGTACTTGTAAACAGTCTGGGCTGAGATGAACTGATCACTGTGAATGTATGGACTCCCTTTTTACAGTTCTAATCAACTGTAGGAAGTAAATAAATAATTCAAATAATAATAGTTCTTTCATTGGCTTTGCTAGCTAAAAATGAAATTAAAACCATTTATTTTGGTTCAAATAGACATAAAATCTGCTACATAATTAAACTGTTTACCGTGACTAAAGAAAATGGAAAACATTTTGCCCAGTTTATCATCCATTTGAGGTTATTCTCATTTGGCCGAAGGGGTAGGACCAAGATGTATATAAATGGGTTCTATATCAGTCCATCAGTGCTCGACATATTGTTTACTGTTCCATTTGTTTAAAAAATATGAAAGTTAACCTGGCAATTTTCTGATGTAAAGTACTTCTCACATGAACATGTATGCATGCAATATAATGAAAATTGGCAGTGGCATGCAGTCACTTCAGGCTGTGACTTGCTATGTCAAATACTAAATATTCCACTTTGCACTTAAACACCTTTCCTTGATCATAAGGTATAAGGGGATCAAAACTCAAATGAATCAATGCAAGCATATCTCTTATCAAACAATGATTCACAAAAAAAAAAAGAGGGCACACTAAAGTGCTACTAAAGATCTGAAAAACCTCAGTTTATGAGTACATTAACGATGGTTTGAGAAAGTTTTACTTGATACTAATTTAACTGAACCATCTTCAATGCACTCCAATAGTAAACGTGCCAATGGAACTTGTGTATCAAATGTATACAAAGACACTTACAAAATCTATGCACAAATTCAGCAGAGCCAACTGTGCCAATTGCTGTTAAGCCACACACTAATCAATACATACATAAGCAGCATGAATACAAATGTAAACCCTACATATAATATATGATCATATGCAGGGAGTGTATATGGCCATTTCTCCTGAAATAAAGTGACAGATGTCAACATGGAAGCTACGAGTAGGCAATTTTCTCCACTAAGCAGTATACTTTATCAATAATCTGTACTTGTACACATTGCAGGGTCCAAACACGCATGTTATTCCCTTTTGCTAATTTTTAAGCAAGTCTGTTTGTCTTTAAATAAAGTGGCCATGTCCAGTGTATAAGATCTAATTAGGTAGTAGTAACTCCCTTTTTGCGAAAAGTGTACTAGTACTCTGCCAGTACAGACTGCATTGCTGAACTCTTATACTCTGCAATGTGAGGTGCCTTACATATACACCACTTTGGTTGAAAAGTACTGAATAAATGAGGCACTTTGGTTCTGTGAGGCCAAGATACACAGCACAAAAACCTAGCAGTTTTAACTCACAACATTTAAGTTCAGTATCTGGTTCAGAACTGAGAATGCAATGAATACAGAAGATTTAAACAAAATACCCAAATTAACTAATTGATTGAAACCTAATATATATCGATATTAACATGATCAACACCCAAGTAGCAACACTTGGACAAAAATCTTCATCCTAAAAAATGAGGAGTTTGGCAACTGAAAAGTATTACAGCAATTCTCTTTCAAACCTTTTTGTCATGATTTCTATGTAGTTACAAAAAGTCTTCTTAACTCTTCCTGCAATTTGATTGAGTTTAAGAAGAGAAATATGAAGAAACCCAAAGACACAATGTTCCTCACACAAAATAATGAAACTGGGTAGTATTAAAATACCTGTAGACTAGTAATGGGGTAGAGACAGACATAACTTTTACAACCCAAGCTATGAGGTAGAACTAGTTTCTGCATCATTGAGAGAATGATCAAAATCCTAAAGGCTGTTAGTATCAATGGCAATGAAGAGACAATGTCAGAGGTAATGGTTATAAAATAATATGATTATAAAATTCATCGTTGTCAGTATCCCTGCAATTGCAAAGAAAAGGATATAAAGCAAAATGAAAAAAAAAAGAAACCATAACAGAACCTTCAGGTGTCTATTCCAATGCAGATAAATTTTGCTTAATTGGATATGCAAAACCGGTACTTTTTTCATTACAGCTGACAGCGATTTAAACATATGCAGTGTCAGATAGCCGCCCTGTGCGGTGTAAATCTAGTGATGCGATGCCGACAAAAACACTTGCTGCAAAACCCAACTTGAAAGCGTCTGTACAAACTTTACTACTTACAGTGGTAGTTCCGAATTTTTCTTTGCTTGAGGATACTGCAACAATTATTTTGGGTCCAGCTATTCGGGCAAACGCAATTTTTCCAACACTCCTTTACTGCACAAAGATCAATCAGTGTTCGCCATCTTGGACTTTCAAATGCATGATATCATTTTCTCGCGAGATTTCCCGTGAATAATTAAAAAAGCCAATATATTTCACTTTGTACGTTTCTGTTTGATGTTTATGGCCGTAAAGAACTTTTGGTATTACTGTTTATCGAAACAAACAACCATTTCCTTTTTATTTGCAACCTCAAGTGAATTCAGGTGATTTTTATTTCGCATTTGGAGAAAAAAGGCCCATTTAAATACGAATTCGCGCCATTTTGGGACAAACACGTGAAAATGGCGGACAAGGAGGAACAACAAGATGAGCCAACTATCGCTCAAGATATTGTTGTCACCAAATATAAAATGGCAGGTGACATGGCTAACGGTGAGTGAGGTCATTTGCCAAAGCATACTTAAACGAAAAGGATAAAATCACTCCAGTACTCTCTGAAAATGTACCTCAACCGGGCACCATGTGGCAACGTTGTGCAATCTCAATGAATGAACAGCTGGTTGTAACTAGTTTCTTTTTATTTTCTCAATAAAAGTTAAAAAACAGATTAGAATACCTCGTCCAGTTGTTTTTATAGTGAGCCGTTCTTTTCACGAGTGTTGTCAGTGCTGGAGTTAACATTGGCAAAGCAAAAGCCAGTGAAGGCAAACATGAAAGATAAAAGTCGATTAAACTTCTTTAATCGTTTCGATTTATTAGAATATAATGATTTTCATGAGTATGGGAATGCTTAAGAAAATGCCTAAGGGTTTTTCTCTTTTTTGAATATGTAAAAATTCACACCAAGTTCATCAAAAGGGCACCGACTACTGTTTAATTAGTACTAAATAAGTTACTGTACTATTACTGGCAGGTTCAGTTGCATGTGGAATGTTAGTACCATGTGCTTTCAAACTGAATCATCAAGTTTGGTAGACTCTGCTTAGATACTTTCGTGTCGGTCAAATTCTTTGAAGGTTCAAGCTAAGCACAAGTTTCAACTTTTGTCGAAGGAAAATTCTGCACTACAATTTGTTCATGTTAAACAATTAAAACAGTGTTATCCTTCTGTATGCAGATCAAATCACCCTAAGGATTTTAGTATTTATTTTATTTCTCAATCATTGTGTTGATTTTTATGTAAGGGTCATCTGTTTTGCAATTTTTCTCTAACTTGATAAATTATAATTATATAAGTTAAATAGAAATGATAACATCATTTCCACGCTTCCTGTTTCAGATATCTTAAAGCAAGTGGTGGAAAAATGTGTAGCTGGAGCCAAAATAGTGGAGATCTGTGAGTTTGGGGATAAGCTAATGCTGGAAGAAACAGGCAAAGTATTCAAGAAGAACAAGGAGATGAAGAAAGGTACAAATAGCCTCACATAAGTGTGAAGTTTGTGTAGGTTTTTCATAGTTTTCTCATTTTTGTGTATTTTACTTCCCAATGAATGACCAATTATATATCTCCCATTTTGAAAAGTATGTTTTAAAGAAAAACACTGAGCATGTCAAAATACATTTTAATACTAACTTGTATTTGTGTGATTCCCCAAAGAAATTGACCATTTAAAGTTATCAAAAAAGAAGTTAAAAATGTTGACTTGTCTTTGCAGGTATTGCCTTTCCATGCTGTCTATCTGTCAACAACTGCATCTGTCACTTCTCTCCTCTCAAAAGTGACCCAGACGTGGAACTGAAGGACGGGGATTTGGTAAAAATGTATGTCTTTCCCGCAGGCTGAAAGTTCTGTAACACTTTTCATCTGAAGAATTTTAATATAAATGTGAAAAATCCACTGACCACTGAAGTCAAAACCAGTTACTTCACAAATTTACAAAATTTTACTGCCATGACTTCTGTTTTACTGGCAACTGGTAAGAGGTTGAAAGTTAATGTTACTGACTAATACTTTCTGACATGTAATAGCATCACACTGAATTAGAAGATGATGCTCTGAAAATAATATATCCTTTGCTCTAAACTTATTACCTGTGAAGAAAAGTTTCAAGTTAGATCCTATTTCAGGGTTGATTTTGCTGCTCAGTGCAATACCTTGCAATTTTTTTGCAGTATTATAAAGAATATTTTAAACAATATGTAGTGGGGGGAAAAAAACTGTGTGCAACTGACACATATCATTTTATGTTTGCTACAGCATGTGGTTCAGTAAATCGCAAATAGAAAAGAATGAGTTGAAGCCTTATGTAGTATGATTTTATAATTCCAGTGACATGGGCGTCCACATTGATGGCTTCTCTGCTATGGTAGCTCACACACTGGTCGTAGGAGCAACTGTGGTAAGAAAATAAAGGTTTCCCTGCATCAAATGGAACTTTCATGTTATGACACTTGTAAATTGGCAATTTATGTGTGAATAAGATTCTAACTGTATTTTGGCATCTGTAATATTTTGATTAATCAATTTATATTAAATGTGCATGGTCAATATATGTATCATGTTTAGCTGCACAAATTATGTAACACTATCAAGTCTGTAAGGTTTATAAATAATGGGGTTGAATGACTCCTTCCAAAAGTTAAGAACAGTTTGATCATTCAGCAGGTAAAATTTTCTTGCCATTTAATCTTTTCATCAGAACTCTGTATATCGATAGATTTGAAATGTTGAGGATTTTTACTTAACTACGGCTTTGACTTCCTCAGGAGAACAAAGTGAAGGGACGTAAAGCAGACGCCATATTAGCAGCATACTGGGGAGTAGAGGCAGCACTGAGGCTAGTTAAACCAGGGGAGGAGGTAAGTGGATTTCCAGACCCACTCACTGGAGAGGTAAACTGAACCCTTGGCCCCATACTCATCAACCTATCATACTAGTTCTACATTAAAAAGTCTGAATATCCCATAATGAAAAAGTTTGTCTTTCTAAAATGCTTGCCAAGGAGGGGCGGGCACACAAGATATATCTACAAGTATCACTATTTATTATGTTCAAATTACAGAATCCAAATACTAAATAAATGCTATATTCAAGTTACAGAATCCAAATACTATATAAATGCTATATTCAAGTTACAGAATCCAAATGCTAAATAAATGCTAAACGTAGCATTACGTGTTAGCATTGCTTCAAATCACCCTTTTTTTCTTCCCCAAAATGTGACAAGTTATTTATGAGTCCTTTTCTTGTTTCAGAATTACACAGTAACCGAAGCTATTCAGAAAGTAGCGGAGTCATTCAAATGTAAGCCAATAGAGGGCATGCTGTCCTACCAGATACAACATCACAGAATTGACGGAGACAAGGCCATCATCCAGAACCCAAATGAAGCGCAAAGGTGGGTTATGAAGACCCAGTCTGTGTCAAAAAAAATAATGATAAAATAAATAACCCTTAAAAGCCTACTACCTTAATTGGGCTCCAGTGAACACAAAAACATAAGGATATTTGCATTTGTCCATTAGAAAGCTGTAACACTATTCCTGATGGGGTAAGATGACATGGGACCATGTAACATTGGTAACAAAAATGTTAGCCACAGGAACTGGCAAAATTTTTTTTTCGGTTTAAGGACCTACTGGCCTAATGGGTAGTACAGTGGCAAGTAACAGATAAAGTAACAGAATTTTAATGTCCTGGTTTTAGTTTTACTGGCATTTGGTGTGGTGCCATTATAAACTGCATTAAGTTGGTGATAAATCGGTTATTTGGCTGTTTAAAACATTCACTGTTAGCAGTATGGGTTCTCTGTCACTGAAATGAAAGAGACTTGTGAAAGTGCAGCTGACAGTCGTAACGGTACCTAGTTATTGTTTCTTTGTATCATATTTTAGATAATATAAATGAATGGTGACACCTGAAATAAATTTGATATTGTGAACACCAGGACATAGAAATAGCATGGTTTGGCCATTCATGTTTGTGGCATTCGACAGAAGCAAATCTTTTGTGGTGGTGTTGAGCTTGTGTGGTAATTTTGATCATTTTTCCAGGAAAGAACATGAAAAATGTGAATTTGAAGTCCACGAAGTGTATGCAATTGATGTACTAGTGAGCACAGGAGAAGGCAAGGTGAGTAGGGGACAGGAGTTCTATTGAAATATTTAGATACATCTAGAATTTGTGTTCTTTTTCTGGGCTTAACCTTAGACAAAAGTTGATGCACTAAAGAAAGACAAATTGGTGATTATTGAGTTTTGAAATTCTTTATTATGCCAAGGCTTTTGAGGAAAAAAAGGTGTTTCCCATTGACTTCTGCTTATTTAAAAGCTACATTTGAACTGAGTGTGGTGGAGCATGGATTCCAAGTAACGCATATAAACCACTTCTGCTAGTTCTTATATGAAGTTGACAGGGGATAAACCAAATTAATCAATCAATCAGCCATTACAGAGATTTAAACTGCACCTTTGAATTTTTGGTTTTACTTTGACATCTGAACTACTTATCTGCCATGTGTATATGTAACACAGAAAGCAAGCAGAAAAAAATGTTTAAATATGACACAATGTCCTTTGGTATTTCTCTAAATTATGCTCTTTAAAGCTATATGTAGGTATTTGGTCAGCTTTTGTGGCAAAAGGAAAAATGACTTTAGATGCACCTTTAATAATAGGATTAAAATGACTAGAAGTTTAAAATCTTATGGCTGCCCTTATCTACTTTATTGTCTGGAAAAAGTGAACTTGAATGTGTTAGGCTTATGTGTATGTAAGAAATTGAATTTTGCGTCTGCACTAAGCTGTTTACTGTTGAATTAAGTGCTACTTGCAAATGTGTTTAAGGGGAGAGAAATGGATGCCAGGACCACTGTGTATAAGAAAAAAGATCTCATATATCAGCTGAAGATGAAGGCATCAAGACGTGAGTACCTCCTAGTGTATTTTGCAAGCTTTCTCGTTTAAATATTGTTCCAATTTGTTTCTTGGCATGTATTTCTAGCAGTGGCGTGAACTCTTGGAATATGTACCTCCAGAATTAAAATGTAGCAAGTAAGTTTTTGACAATTAACTGTCTCTTGCTAAATTAAACCCATCTTTAAGCATACGCCTCAATCACCACTTGTGGTTTAATGATTCCAAAGTTAAAGAAAGAAAAAGAAAAGATATTAATTTAACAGGATTAATTTTCTTTGGATAAGGAATATTTCCTGGGTTAAAATGATAAGAAAACCCAAGTGTCTGTTTCTAATTTCAGAATTTTTTAGTGAAGTACAGACAAAATTTAGCAACATGCCTTTCACTTTGAGGTAAGTTTGATTAACTGAAAGTTTTATGCATTAAATTCAAGTACAAAAAATACAAAGAAAATAGAATGAACTTTGCAGAACATTTGAAGTTAAAATATGAATTGAGTGAAAAAGTCAATCTTCATGAAGACTGCCAATATTAAAAAAAAAGTATTTTAATTGGTAGTGTGGGTAAAAACACTTCCAAATTTGCTGAATTGAAGGTGTTTATTACCAATTTCAAATGAAGTTGAAAGTGTTGTAAGCAGTAGGTTTTAACTGTAAAAGTTCATTTCAGCTTCCTGTCTTTCAAGTCAGTGTTTATTGGTTTTGCAGAGAAATATTTTGTCAAGAAACCAGTTGTTATGTTTTTTCTAAGTGCAAAATCATGTTCTTGGTAAAAGAAATCATTTTCAATTGGATAAAAATTTCCAGAGCATTTGAGGATGAGAAGAAAGCCAAGATGGGAGTGGTTGAGTGTGTAAAGCATGGCCTGGTCGAGTCCTACAATGTCCTCTTTGATAGGGAAAGTGAGTATCTCTGCTGAAATGTCCTCTTTGATAAGGAAAATATCTCTGCTACATTTTTTTTTTATACTGAAAGTATCTTTGCTACAATGTCCTCCCTGAAAGGGAAAGTAAGTTTGTCTGTTACAATGCTTATTTGATAGGAAAAGTAAGTATCTCTACTGCAATGTCCTCTTTGACAGGGAAAGTATCTCATCTGCAACATTCCTTTCGATAGGGAAAGTTTCTCTGCTACAATGTTCTCTGTGGAGAGCATATCTGATACATTCTCTTTGATACTGGAAGTATGTCTGCTAAAATTATGTCTTTGATTAGGAAAGTATCTCTGTTACAAGATTCTCAAAATCAGAAATTCTGATTTCCCCAATTTTAAAATTCTCCTCAATAGTTCTGAACAAAGATTTCAGTTTTTCTGCTGGCAACATAAGATATCTTAAATACAGACAAAAAAGAAATGTTTTAGAAAAGGAATGTTATCTTTATTGATTCCTAAATCGCATATGAGTAGGCTTATCCATACTTGACTGCAAAGCATTTATATATTGTGTTAAAAAGAAAATTATATTGGCATATGCTTAAATATTTTTTCCTAACATATCTTTGAGGAAAGCTTGTTTCGTCTTGCTAGTGTTCAAATTTTATAATGATCACTTTGCCTCATTTACAAATACCTTTTTATGATTTTCTGATATTTTAATGATAGTAATACAGTTACTTTGGACAAATTATTAGTGAAAAAGTTAGGTTTTGCTCTTGTCAGATCAGGCTGAATGCCCTCAGGCTGTTGGGTGTTGGTAGATCCATGAACGATTCTCAATGTTGTATTTTTTTTTTTCTAAAAAGTGGACCTTTTACCATGAGACCTTCATTACCTTGAACAAATTTAACCTGCCAAAAAAAAAAAAAAAAAAAATTCAGGCCTGCAACAACCTGCAAGAATTAAGGCTGTTGGGTTGATAACTTTTTTTGCCAGAAATGTTAAATTCTCTGTAGGTCTAGTGTACTAGTACAAATGGGAAAATGTGGCCTTGAAACTCTGTACACACCAAGATGCTTACAGGGAATAAAAATAAAACTCTGATGATGTTATTAGCACGTCCTGCCTATAGTCATTAACTGCGAGCTGTTAATCTCTGCGTCATTAGTGTTAACAACACTTTCTTTGGCCAGAGTCCAGTTTTGCAACATGGTCTGAAGATAGTAATCATATTGTTGTCTTATATGTAAACTTATTGAATTTTGAAGCTCCTACCTGTAATTATCTTTTCCTGTTGTCGTGTACATATGCCAATATTATCAGGAAAGTTAACAGCTTTTTAGCAGACACAATCAAAATTAAAATCACTTTGTTGGTTCACCAATGGCTTTCTTCCTCAAGGCCCCACCACCAGTCCTCAAATAGTGGCCAGCTTTTTAATTTTTTAATTTGTATAATGGGAGGGGAGTTGATTATTATCAGCATTTTAAGTTTTAGATATTTGGTAAATCTTTTGTGTCTTTCATCAATAACTGGACATACAATTTTCAAAAGCCTACGGCTGTCCATGCTTGGTAGTGAATATTTGTCAGATCACCTAAAAGTTGTGTTATCCACAGATTTCAACCTTAACCCCATATTGTTTAAAAATCTACCTAAATAGATAAAATTTACATTGGTATTGGTATTATTATTAGTTTATGCATTTTTTCCACCTGCCAGATGAATACGTAGCCCAGTTTAAGTTCACTGTGCTGTTGATGCCCAACGGGACCTTGAAGATCACAGGGCTGCCGTTTGACCCAGACGTCTACGAGTCTGAGCATCAGGTGGAGGACGAGAAGATTAAGGTAAGGTGGTACATGGGGATGTCTCCATCTTTTCATTGGGGATAAATTTATCAATCTCACGGATACGTAATTTTGGAATCCTTGAAAATATTTTTAGTAGCAATTGTGGTGCTGTTGCTGTATAGAATGGAACTAAAGGGTAGTCTGCTTTTCACTTTTGTTGCTACCATTTGAAAGAAATGTTCTTATTTTTAAAAAATGAATACAGTATCTGTAAAATTAAGAATTTTCCCCAATTGAAAAGATGTAGTGATTAACATTGTTACTTTGTTTCTCAACATGTTGGGAAATTGCCATTTTTAATAGACTGGCTTGTACATATTAGTTCTTCAAGGGCTTATTATTCACGATGAATCTGTTGTTTTACATAGAAACTCTGCAGGGAACTTCACTGGAACCACTCGGATTGACATGCCTCCTGGTGCTTAATAGAATGCGGAAAAGCTTTTGATTACAAGAATACAGAAGAAACGAGGAGGCGTGTTAATCTGGTTGCATTCCTCAAGAGTCCCCACAGATTTGTTTTGATAGCTATGTTTTAGCATTATTACATTCCTACTTAATAAAACCAAAGGCACAGATGCAAAACAACAAATAAGGTATTTATTGTTACTCTGTTGATCTATATATATTCCAAAATATGGTGGAAAAAGGCATCAAAATATCATCTTTTCTTTGAATTGTTGTTTGTTTCTGTTTATTGTCTGTGATAATTGAAGTATTTTGGCAAGTATGGTAGCGTATCATGTTGGTGGCATGTGTGTGTGTGTTTTGTATTTAGTCTGTGAAAATTGAAGTATTTGGGCAAATATGGTAGCGTATGTTACAGATGTTTGTGGCACGTTTTTTGTTTGTATTTACTCTCAGTGAAAACTGAAGTATTTTGGCAAGTATGGTAGTGTATGCAACAGGTGTTATAGGAACGAGGGCAGGTGGACCGGCTGAAGGAAACATTGGGAGAGGTAAAACAATTCACTAAATGAACATCCCCTTCATGTTTAAATTTGCCATTATCATTTTCCTTGTTAAATTGCTCTTCAGGCTCTTCTCTCCACCTCCGCCAACCGCAAGGCAGCTAAGAAGAAGAAAAAGAAGGCAGAGAAAGCCATTTCAGAGGGAGCAACTGGTGCTGCTGATGCAGCACAGGCAGCGGAATCCTGAACCAATAACTTCAAATCAAGTATCAAGTCATCATCACGGGGAATAAGCGTTTCCCTATGATATGGACGTATAATGTTGATGAATATGACAGCTTCAGACTTAGAAGCAGAATAAACATTGGAATTGAGCAGTACACACAGTGTTAATACAGCAGAGCAAAGGCAGAGATTGGTTGTATTGGGATGTGTTAGACACGCATACAGAGAACCCTTAGTTGGGGACCATCATTTAAGTCAGGGAAAACAAGCAATTGGCTGTGTCCTCTTTGTATTTAAGGTGGCAGTGATACCTGAATTAGGAACGCATGTCCTGGTCTTTCAGTATGAAGTTGGTGAACAGTATCTATATTTATATGTAAACATATCTGGATAGATATAGATTTGCTATTTGTGTAGGGTAGGGATTACCACAAGTTTTTAATATTTTCACTTATGATAATTTGCTGCTTCAAAAAAGCAAAATGAAGGATGTGGAATTAGGTCTTGAATATGATTAATTTAATTATTCATAATTTTGAATGTGAGATTTTTTTTCCTCCTCCTTAATTTTATTTGAGGCTCTTCAGAGATGATGTCAAAATGGAGAATGGAAAAGTGGAAATAGTAGACTGGAATTTTTAGTTCTAAGGAAATTAAAATTTAAAGAAAAATGGTTGATCTGGAGAGAAAATGTTATCCAGAATGTAAATTTTGTTTTTCTATATATATATATATATATATATATATATTTTTTTTTTTTTTTTTTTTTTTCCATGGAAAATGATGGAAAGCATGACATTTGTATTTGTTGATGCGTTTTTTCTAGAAAATTAAGTTGTTGGATCTGCATTGGACATTTAATTATATGATTTTCCTTAGCACAGTTTTATGTTGGTGATAATTATACGAGTGAATTGTTAATCAGTTGATTTTGTTGCCGATGGCAACCTGAGTAACACGAGTTACTTGCTATTGTCCATTAGTGTTAAGATCACTCGATTCTTTTAATTGTTATTTGCTGTTCACGATACTGCCTCCCCTAGTACTCTTAGCCAGTAGCAATGTAAAATTTATTTTCAAGGACACAGCCAATAAGGTTAAGAAATAGAAAAGATAAACACGTCTCACAACTAGCGCCAAAATTACTCAAAAAAGATGCCATTTAAATGGCAATATTCTATTTTTACAACCTTCTGCTGACGGTGTGTATTTATTATTCCATCAAATAAACATTGAATGAACAAGAAATTGATTTTCTTCAATTTGTTATAGTACCACCAGCATGAGCGATGGGGTACCATTACCCTCTACCAAGGCCGCAGTTATGATTATGGACGTTTTTTTTTTTTTTTTTTTTTTTTTTTTTTTTTTTTTTTTT